GAGTTTAGATGACCATTACTTTAATGCACGCACTGACATTTTTTTTGAAGGTCTATTTTTAATTACTGAACTTTCCTGTGTGGGTTTTTAAATAAATAAATAAATAAATATCTTTGGGGAAAGGGGGGGATAAAATAATCCCTGCATGTGCCAGTGGTGGGGACAGCAGAGTTTGCCACGTGTTTGCAGTTTCTCAAAGTGCAACTCTCACCAGATGTTTCTGTGTGCCAGAAGAGCAGCGGACTCCAGGACTGGAAGAATTTCCAACGGTTGAAAATGACAAACGATAGCATATCCAATCCAACCATACTAACTTGGACCCCCATCCTCCCCAACTTCAAAGGGCAAGATCTTTTGCGTCTCCTGTTGCTGAAATGAAGAGCACAATTACCTTTCCAAGAAGAATTTCTGTGTTGTAAGCAAAATGAAATTGTGCATTCCTTTTGGGACCATTTTTTTTGTCTTGAGAATTTAAAAACAAAATGAAACACTATCATAAAAAGCATGACCAGAAAATAAACTTGAGCATAATTGTGAAACAGTTAGCTTTCACTGTAGTTTCCAAGTTGAAGTTAAGGACTTTATCTCACACACTTGCAAATTTTAAAGTCATGTTTGTAGCAGGATTTTTTTCAAGTTTCCTTTTTAAATACATTTCCTTATGTATTTAATTGAGCAAAACAAGGGAGTCCTAGCCCAGAGCACTGGGGGTTGTTAACGCTGTAAATTTAGTCCCTAATTTTTTTTATTTTTATTTTCTAGTATCACAGATAATTGTTGCACAAAACTTGGCATATATAGGATAATGTTAAGCAGTAAGGTAACCAAGCACATGCTGTAAAAGGTAATGAATGCTTGTTTAAAGAATCCTTTCACCTTTTATGGATTACAAATGCAATCCTTGGTCCCTCCTGCCCCCCCTTTTTCACCACACTGATTTTTTTAATCTGTTTTGGTTTGTCCACTTGGAAGGGCAGTTTATATATCCTAACACTATCCTATAAGTCTCAACAACCAGGAATCTCTGTTTTCAAAAGAGACCTATCCTACACTTGGGTATCGAGTCAATTCTTTGTGTATGAAATGATGTACAAATCAATGTTTTGAAAATAATGATCTTGAACTTTCTAAGTTAAACAGAAAAAAAAAAAACCTTTTTTGATTGTTTGCCATATTGGGTGGGTTTACTCTTAGAATCGCATGCTGTAGAAATGCTAAAAAGTGCATATTGGACTAAGTCCTTAGATGTTTTTTCTTTGAAGAAATAACCTGTTTAAAAACTGTAACCATTGTCGCTGTATTCATTTATTGTTGCTACTCTGTGCATAAATCTATGAAGAACTCCAGTACAAAGCTATGCACGTTTTGGAGTAGCGTGATAAGTCACTTTTTTTTTTTTTTTAAAGAATAAAGAAAAAAAAAGAAACAGCCTGTTCAAACAATCGCTGTCAAAGATTCTGGGGTGTGGGAGGAGGGAACCTAGACCATCTTCTTTATAAATCAGTTCCTCACAGCCAGTTCCTCTTGCAGGATGAGTCCTTTGCATCTGATCAGAGTCATTTTTGTAATGAGCAGGTTTTCCTGGCTTTCTTTTCAAATAAAATGTTAAAAGCAGCAGTGTTTGGACAGCAGATTGTTCTTTCCTATCTTCTCACTGTATCCAGAAATGCTCCTTCCTAGCAGCAGTAGTAGCTTTTCTCCATTTTGTTTTTTCTGCAACATTCTGTACAAAAATGTGCTGTAATTGTGCGTTAGGCCTGGATTTGGCATAAAAGATGAGTTCCCTCTTACTCTCTTTCATGAAACTACTCTGTAGAGCTTTCTCCACGCCCTGTATCCCTCTTCACCTTTTGTATTTAATTTTAAAGTCAGTGTACTTCAAGAAAGCTGGATGCAAGATAGATACTATATTAAAATGTAATGTTATTTAAGATGTAATAAAGCAGTTTGACATGAGTTTGGACTGATCTGTTTTGCAGCTTCTTGTTCAACGTGCAGAACGTCTTCTGAGGTGTGGAATAAACAGAATAAACACACAGGAGGAGGGAATGCTGGCCCCAGAGAAATGGTTTGGTGGTTTTCAATGGTTAATGGTCACTTATTGGGTCAGTTAACTCCAAATTCAGAGAGCCAGTATGAGGTGCACAGCACAAAAATGCTTTGTGCAGGAGTGGAGCACCTGAAGTGGGAAATCAAAGCAAAATTAACTTCTTTTAAAACTTTTGTGTCCTTTATTAGGAAAAGCCTTGAGTGGTTGCTGCCACGTGAGGATCTGGCCAGGGCAGCTCTGGTGGCACTCTTAGATTGCCAGGGTAAGAAGCCATTTTCATGCTCAGTAACAACAAAGTCTCCAAGAGGCAGAATTTTATCTTAAAAATGTATTTAAAACATTGTTTTCTACCCAGAGAAGCAGATTTGTGCAGTGAGGTGTTAAAAAGCAGTTGGTTCAACAATTTGGTATTGGTTGACTTGAGGGTTTTGTGGTTTTAGTGGGTAAAGTCCCATCTCTTGTTTTATCTAAACAAAAATGGATTTTCCCCTCATTTCACATCAACCAAGAGAAATTCCAAAGCTGTGGATTGGTCTCACACCAAACATGGAAATTCTCACTCTCATTGGAGAGGTTTTGAAAAGCTGGGAGTGTGGAAAATGTGATGGTGGCATTGCCCAGCTGTGAGCTCTGGGCTTTGGGGCTGGTGGGTAGCTCATGGCTGGAAATGCTGAATTTTGGCAACTCAGATTTTGTGGTTCCCAATTCCAAATGCTGCCGCTGTGGGGTTTCCACTCATGTGGAATATTTTTATTCCAAAGGATGTTTCATGTGTGGCTTTGTCTGGTCTGTAATAAAATCAATGATCTGTCTCACCCTCCTTAATCTCAATCCATGTGTTAAATCTCTGTGCCCTGGCAATAAAACACCCCAGGACAGTGACTTGTGGCAGGAGGCTGCTGTGCAGCCCTTTGGGCTTTATTTGAAATGCAAACAGTTGCAGTTCCCTCTCACTCCTCTTATTTTCATGTTAAATATGAAATTTTCTTGGATTTAAACATTTTTCATTGTGTGTTTGGTTATTCAGAGAGCTGCTAGTGGAGAAAAATGGGTGTGCGAAGGGAGCAGCTCTGAACTCTTGAGTCTGGGCCAAAACTTTGAGTTTTGAATGCCTTTAATTTTAGGATAGACCTCAATCAAATTTATTTATGTCATTTTTCCTACAAGCCCCTCCTGTGGGATTTGCAAAGATTCTGGGTTTGAGATAATTGTGGGCTGTGGCTCCAAAGAGCAGCTTCCCCCAGTGCTGCTGAATTTCTGGTGCTGATTTCTTATTTCTGCTTCAGATTCCACGACCTGAGAACACAAAATCTGTGAGAATGGGGTTGGAATCCTCTCGTGGAGTTTGAAGGAAGGGGTGAAGGAAGACAGAGCAGATTTCTCAGTCCAGTTAAGACCTTTAGCATATTCTGTGCCCCTCAAGGCCTTTCATTTCTTCATGAATTAAATAAAACATCTGAGGTTCTACTACCAGCACAAAAAAAAATTGAGTTGGGCATTCTCCCTTGTGACCATGAGGTCCCCTGGAGTGTTTGAAATCAGCTGTGAACACACTTGAAATGAGTGATGGAATCATGCCCTATAGGAGCTAAGAATAGCATCCTCTGGTTTCTGGGAAGTGGCAGAGTAAATAAAGAATTCTAAAAGCTGTCACCCGTGCTGAGCTCTGTGCTGGCTCTGCAGCGAGGCAGGAGCCCGGTGCTTTCATGATTAACACTTCTTAGTGTAGGTGTGAGCATGAATTCACTTTGGAGGGGAAGGAAGAAAAGAAGTGGCTGATGAACAAGTTCTAACACAGCTGGCTATTTTTGCATGGTGCTGTTCTCTTTTTCTTCTCTTCGTGTCATTTCTGAGAGTCTGCCTCTGCTTTTACCATCAGTGATGAGCTGCTCTTTTTCCATTGCATTCCAGTGAAAGTTGGAATGCAGTGGAGAAGTGGAAAGTTGAATTTGTTGTGTTTCAGGGCTGTGTGAGCAGAAATGAAAGCCCAGATTTGAGTTTCCCTCATGGAACAAGGATCCCTGCCCCTCCTGCACACGGCAGCTCCCAGAGGTGGCAGCAGCCATCTGCTGTCCTCGTGTGCTCAGTGATGGAAACATCATTGCTGTGCTCCATTTTACCTGATGGCTTCAAAAATTCCTGCTCTGTCTCTGTCCTGCCTGCCTCACATGTGCTCAATGAAGTGATTTAAACATCATTGCTCTGCTCCATTTTACCTGATGGCTTCAAAAATTCCTGCTCTGTCTCTGTCCTGCCTGCCTCATGTGTGTTCAATGATTGAAACATCATTGCTCTGCTCCGTTTTACCTGATGGCTTCAAAAATTCCTGCTCTGTCTCCTCTGTCCTGCCTGTCTCATGTGTGTTCAATGATTTAAATATCATTGTTTTGCTCCATTTTACCTGATAGGTTCAAAAATTCCAACTCTGTCTCCTCTGTCCTGCCTGCCTCATGTGTGTTCAATGATTGAAACATCATTGCTCTGCTCCATTTTACCTGTTGGCTTCAAAAATTCCAGCTCTGTCTCCTCTGTCCTGCCTGCCTCATGTATGTTCAATGATTTAAATATCATTGCTCTGCTCCATTTTACCTAAAATTCCTGCTCTGTCTCCTCTCTCTGTCCTGCCTGCCTCATGTGCTCAGTGATTTAAATATCATTGTTTTGCTCCATTTTACCTGATGGCTTCAAAAATTCCTGGTTTTTCTCCCCTCTCTGTCCTGCCTGCATCACAAGTGTTCAATGATTTAAACATTAATTACTTTGCTCCATTTTACCTGATGGCTTCAAAAATTCCTGCTCTACTCTCTCTGTCCTGCTGTCCTCACATGTGCTCAGTGATTTCAACATCATTGCTGTGCTTCATTTTACCTGATAGGTTCAAAAATTCCTGCTCTCCTCTCTCTGTCCTGCTGTCCTCACATGTGCTCAATGATTTAAATATCATTGTTTTGCTCCATTTTACCTGTTGGCTTCAAAAATTCCAGCTCTGTCTCTGTCCTGCCTGCATCACAAGTGTTCAATGATTTCAACATTAATTACTTTGCTCCATTTTACCTGTTGGCCTCAAAAATTCCTGCTCTACTCTCTCTGTCCTGCCTGCCTCATGTGTGTTCAATGATTTAAACATCATTGCTCTGCTCCATTTTACCTAAAATTCCTGCTCTGTCTCCTCTCTCTGTCCTGCTGCCTCATGTGCTCAGTGATTTAAATATCATTGTTTTGCTTCATTTTACCTGAAATTCCTGTTTTGTCTCCTCTGTCCTGCCTGCTTCAAAAATTCCAGCTCTGTCTCTGTCCTGCCTGCCTCACATGTGCTCAATGATTTAATTTAAACATCATTTCTCTGCTCCATTTTACCTGTTGGCTTCAAAAATTCCTGCTCTGTCTCCTGTCTCTGTCCTGCCTGCTTCACACATGTTCAATGATTTAAACATTAATTACTTTGCTCCATTTTACCTGTTGGCTTCAAAAATTCCTGCTCTACTCACTCTGTCCTGCCTGCTTCACATGTGCTCAATGATTTAAACATCATTGCTCTGCTCCATTTTACCTGTTGGCTTCAAAAATTCTTGCTCTGTCTCTGCCCTGCCTGCCTCACATGTGCTCAATGATTTAATTTAAACATCATTTCTCTGCTCCATTTTACCTGTTGGCTTCAAAAATTCCTGCTCTCTCCTCTCTTTGCCTGAGCACTCCTGTGCTGTGCTCAGCTTTTCCTTATATCAGTACTAAAGAGTATTACAATAAATGTACAAGGAGTGTTTTTAAATAAGGATCAGTAACTGCCTTGGTAAAATTATCTCCAGTATTTCATTTAGCTGGGAAAAACAAGCCATAGAAATGTGAATAAAAACTGAGTGAACTTCTCAATGTTTAGAGAGCTGCTCCAAACTCACCCTGTAGGAATCTGCTCAATACTCATTCAAGTAATTCCTGGCTTAACCCAAGACAATTTTGTCATAAAATAGAACAAAGAAAATCTTCCTGCTTTAATTATTCAGAAGCCATTTGCTCTGGCTGAGTGCAGCGAGACGTGATTGACCCTGAGAGGGAATTCTCTGGGGAACTGGAAGTGCAAAATGAAAAGTTTATTTGATGGAACAGATTTTTAAATGGCAACCAGATAAGGGAGGGAAAAATCTGTTTAAAAGGGTGGGAAAAAATAAATAAAAATGAAAAAGGCAGTGCAGCTCCATCTGCTGGTGCAGAATGGTCAGAGCAGAGCCGGGTGTGCCAGCAGCCTGTGCTGGCTTTGGCTGATTTTTCCATAAGGCCTCACAAACAAAACAAGCTTTTCCCAGTGTTTACTTCTGGAGGGATTTTCTTTTCCCAGTGTTTTATGTCAAAAAAACCTCAGCTGGTGAGGATGGAGAGGTTAAAAATGAGGCAGAGTTAAATCTGTCCAAGAGCCCCTGCTCCAGTTAAATCTTATTTAGAACAACTTGGACAACTCTAAGTGTTATTTAGAAAGGGTTCCCTTTCTAAAGGGTATTTAACTGGAGCAGGGGCTCTTGGACAGCTTTAATCTTATTTAGAAGGGATTCCCTGCATTTCTCCCCAGCCCCTCTCCCCAGTATTCCTCTCACATTTTTTGCCACGCTCTGTCACAGCCCTGATGAGAATCCCTGCTCCTTTCAGCCTCCCTCCTCTGCCTTAGGTAGCAATGAGGATCTGGAGCTGCTAATTAATGTATTTTAATTGGCAGGGTGCTCTTGCTGATCTGGTGCCCTGTGCTGTGGCAGGGAAGTCCCTGTGCAGTGGAAATTTGGATTTTGCTGTCACACACACGCTCCTGTTGCACCGGAGAGAACCATCACTTCCATTCCAAACCCCCGTTTATAACACCAAACACATTTTAAGATGTAGAATTCTGATATTTAGGATTTTTTCTCTCTTTTGCACACGC